ATTCAGTCCCCAAATGCCCCACAAACCCCACAGGCGTGAGGGGACAAGGCTGTGTCCTTGCAGCTCTTGGTTTCTCTTACTGTGGTTTGGTTTTTTTTTTTTCCTTTTTAATTTTTTTGCCTTTATTGTTTAGCAGGTTTCCCCTCTCCCTTGCATAAGCCCCGGCCACCCCTTGGTCGGCCACGAACAGGTTAAGTTTCCTGTTGCTCAAAACAGGATTTCCTGGTGTCGAAAGGCTGAATTCGCAGAAGCGCTGGGAGGGAGGATGGCTTTTCTCAAACAGTTCCACCCACGCTCCCGCAAGCCAGATTCCTCCATGGGAGAGGTGATGCCCCCACATCCCAGCTCACCGAGGGGGTCCCCGGCGATGATGCTGTACTCCACTTGCCCGCTGGGTCCCGAGTCACCGTCGTGGGCCAGGAAAGTCCAGACGCGTGGGCCAGGCTGCCCTTCTGTAACGTCGAAGGGACCCTCGTAGGGCCGCGGGAAGGTGGGACAGTTGTCGTTGATGTCGTTGAGGTTCACCAGCACCTGCGGTCAGGGCGAGAGGATGGAGGGCAGTTAGAGGAAAGGGACAGAAGGGGACACCAACCCGCTGGTCACGAGCATGGGAAGCCATGGATGGGTGACATCGCAAAATGCCTCCCGTATTTCTGGCTTTGCTGGGTTCTCCAGACATCCAGCTGACAGTTCAGAGACTCAAACTCAGTTATTCCTGATCATGCCCACCCTACAGCGACACTATGAAACTCCAGCCGCGTACAGCTGGGGCTCTTGTCAACCTCTGTGCCACACACCATGACGGAGAAGTCAACACAAAAGCCAAATGTCCTCCACATTCACATCCTGAAACCCAGGTTGGATAGACAAAGACCACAGACACGGACCTGACCACCAAAGCCATGCGTTGGGAGATACCTGATGTCTGCAGCCAGCTGCACGCTTACCCACTCCTTTTCCTCCACCAAGGGCTTCGTTCCTAATGCTGAGTAAACTTTAAAAAATTTGCAGCATGCCTCCTTATTCCAAGACAAAACACCACCAACGCTCTTGGCGCGTTTCCCCTCTTAGCATCCCTTCCTACAACACACTTAGCTGGCTAGAAGTCAACCCTGCAGAGCTCAGAAGGGGAAAGCATCAACAGTTTTAGGACAGTGCAGACCACGAGGCTGTTGGATCCAATGAACACGAGTCTCGTTTTTAACCTGAGTCACACTACATAGAGGACATTTATATAGCTCCATACTATATTGCAAAGAGGGTTATCCCCTTGTTAGGCTTCAGGGAACTTGCGCAGCGGAGGAATGCTGCCTGAGGAAGAGAGTCTTCAGTGGCTAATAAAAGGTTGAGCTTTGGTGGTACGGATGGTGACGAGAAAGATGCTGCAAATGAGGAGCTTGCCAGCCTCCTGGGTTAAAGGACAGTAAAATCCATCAGACGGGCATTTGTTAGGGCTAAACCTAGGCTTTGCAGAGGAGTGTATCTCAATCTGCTCCGTTTCCTAGCAGTGGAGAAAACAAACACTGGCATGTCTTATCAGGGTGATGGATTTCCCATCACTTGGGATCTTAAATAATCACTAAACCTTCTTCTAAAAGCTAGGTTTTCATATGGTGCTGGCAGAAACTCCCCGGGCCGTGTAGGCAGGATGTTTCCTATCCCTTCTAGCTTCAATACTTGCGGCTGAAGGGGTTTCCAAGTTCACTTCTTTGCTTGGGCCAAGAGCAGGGAAAGCTCTGCCTTCGCCTGCAGCACGCCGGCCGTTAAACCCCAGGTCTCAAGGTTTCCGCTGCAGTTTTCCTGGGCCAGCAAGGCATCTCCAGCAGTATCAGATGCACACAGCTGAAGGCTTCCCATCTGCCCAAGCGCAGAACACAGCGCTGCCAGCCTTGCAGGGACAGATTTTATCTACAGAAATCTCCCACACTGGTATCTCCCCTTCAGTTTCTCTTTTTTTTTTTTTTTCTTTGCACACAGGAACTTAGCCCCTTTTGGGGGATTATCAAACCTTTGGCACGATACCGGGGTGAGGCATAATGGTCCACGATAGGGAGCCAATGCAGAAGATCTAACTAATCCCTTCCACTCGCAGACCCCAAAATCAACCTGGTCATGGACAACATCTGCTGTACAACCTGCCAAATTCTGGTTTCGGTCACAAAAATAACCAGTGTGTTCAACTCCTGCAAAACATTTGCTTTGGAGCTGCTAATCTGTATCTGCCCTCCCCACATTTTGAGTGGTGCACTAAGTTCAGGTCACCGTGGTCTAGGGAAAATGGAAGAGCTGTAGAGAAAAGCAGGAATAATTTAAATAACCTCCCTACAAGGAATGAAAAAGGAATTTTAAAAGCAGATCAATAATATAAGAACATAAAGCTGAAGCAGAAATTAATGCTATAGCAATGCTTTACTATCTACTGTCCCTTCAAGCAAGAAGGACCAAAGGGACATCTAAAGAAAACATAATGCAACTTAAAAGCAGTTCTGGGAATTTCTTCTGTTTATGTCTTTGCAGGACCAAATAATCGGGCTAATTAACCTACAAGTGTCCCTGGCCCACCTCCGTGTTTTGCAGTCCCCATGAGGGAGCAGGGAGACAGCACATGGGCAAACTGTCTGCAGTTGGGAAAAGCAACTGGTGACCACTGGGAAGGAGATGTGAAACTGCTCGTACGAGGGGGAACTCCTCGACCCTGAAAAGACCATGGTGTTGCAATCCTGCTGGCAGGTCCCTACCGTGGCGGTCGACGTTAGCCGGCGCGAGATGATGGGGCACTGGTCGGTGGCAGTGATGGTCAAGGTGTAGCGCCCGTGGCTGATCTCGTAGTCCAGCTCCTTCATTGTGCGGATCTGTCCCTGCAAGGGGAGGGGAGAGTGGCCGGGAGTGAAGGGAGCGGGACAGGGACACATCTGGGACGGGGTTGGCACCTTTACTGACCGTGGCGCTGTCGATGTGGAAGGTACCCAAGATGTTGCCTTCAGTGATGGCATACGCAACTGTGCCGTTGGGTCCCTCGTCCTGATCCAGGGCCTGCACGGTGACGAGGGTGGCATTGAGTGTGGCAGGACCTTCATCAAGGGTCACCTCATACAGTTGCTGCTGGAAAGTGGGAGCATTGTCGTTCTCATCCAGGACGGTGACGTACACTGTGGTGGTGGCCTGTGGGACATGGGGACACGGCGTTAAGCACTGTAGAGGGATCCACTCTGCAACCCCTGGAGCTGGCTGGGGAAGGCTAGACCTGTCAAGGTCAACGACCAGTATCGGTTCAACCCTTCCGAGAGACACAAACGGGATGCAGGGCTCAAAACGAAATGAGCCGTGGCTGCAGACGCATCTCCCGGTAACGGTTGGGTACAGAGATAAACGTACAGAGATTAAATCACACCCTTGTTCCAAGCAAAGCATGTCTCTGTAGGCTGCCCCCCCCTTTCCACCCAATTTTTACCATCGAGGAGCAGCCCATGGTAGAGGGAAAGCCAGGCGCTGAACCCCATCGTGCCTTGCTGCCTTTGGAGAAGGCATGTGTGAGTCCTCACCTTGACCTTGGGGACATCTTGGTTGTTATGACCGAGGATGACAACACAGTAGGATGGAAAATACCCAGAGGCAATGCTGCCATGGCTCAGGGGAAGAACAAAAATGAGCATCTCGGACAACCGGACTAACATCCCCTCATCTACCTGCTGACCACGATTTCACTGCCGGTCAGGCTCAGCCTATCCTGACCCTATTCCACTTGTATCTGGCCCTGCACAGGCACTTGGATGTCCTTACTGAAGGCTGTCTTCTGGGCCTGTCACCATGGGGGCACACCCGGGGACAGGGAGGTGACAAAACCCTGCCACCCCGCCTAAGGGCTCGGCTCAGAGTTGGGGTCTTGGGACAATAAACCATTTTCTTGGAGTCTCTGGACTTTGTGCCTACAGCTTCCCCCAGCAACAAATTTCTTCCAGCCAAACAAGGGTTACATTTTTGACGAGAGCATCACAGACATTTGCAGTAAAAAAAAACCCACAAAGCCACATGGTAATTAGCTATTTTTCTATTTCACTGCATGCTTCAAATCCAGAGCAGGTTAGCAGCAAAGTTTCCTGCGGTTTGCAAACCTCTACCTGTCTCCAGGCTCCACTTGCCAGGGAACGCCGCTTTGAGAGGAGGTGGCCCTCAGCTGCAGCCAGAGATTTTGTGGATGCCTTTTGAATGGGAAGCGAAGCTCCGGGAGGAGTGACGTGAGTCAGCCCACGGCGTGCTTTGCTATTTGAGGGCAGAGTAAAGGCCTCCTCCTGTGAAAACGGGCTGCCGGGGGGTGGGGGGATGCTTTGCTCCCCTTTTTTTTTGGGGGGAAAGCTCCATTCCCTTCCCCAAGCTGGCACTGCTCTGAGTTATCCTTCCCTGTACCTGCCTCCTGTTCATCCCAGCAGGGTCTCTACCCACTTAATCTTCACGAACACGGGAAAAACAACTATTACAAGCAAAGTGCAGTTTGAACCAAGCTGGAAATTGGCCCCAAGGGATCGGGTCCAACCGGGAAAGGGAAGGGGACCAGCACCTAGCCCCTCGCAGCTGACCACCCGCACGTCACCCGGCACGGCGAGCATCCTCCTGTGCACCCCGAAAACGCACACAGGGGCACCAGCTTGCTCTAAGTTAACCCTGCAATGCTATAAGGGAAAAAAACCCAAAAACCCAGCAGATGCATCCACCGCTGCCCAAACAGGTGGGGATTGAAGCATCACCCGCCGGTGGGG